TACTAGGTACCATTTTCGCATAAAGGAATTTCAATCTCTCCCCCTTTTCCCTTCTTGGTAATTGCAACCTTTGTAAAGCAGTGTCAAAATGACGCTGTCAATCGTTAGTTGCGTTTTTTTACTCATTTCCAGTAAAAACCAGTTAAAGTTTTTACGAATTTTCATGATTTAGCGTTTTCGTACGCAAAACCTTGCAAAGTAGGGGAAATTGAGAGAGCGAAAAATGACAGCTGAAGTTGCAAGTTTTTACTGAATTTTACTGGATAAATTTTTACTTGTAAGAATTTGCCAGTACGAAAAACATCTGATCGCAGTTGCTGGACGAAATTTAAACTAATAAGGAAACTGTTTGTGGCTTTTTATTGTGGAAATTCACAAAATAAACATATTTAAATATAAAATATATTGTTTTATTAGGAATATGCTGCGAATAAACAACCAATTTATCAGCTGTTCATGAAACTTGCAAATTATTACTGGAAAAGCGTTCACGTACTTTTTTGTAAATTTTTTCTATGAGAGCGAATTCCTAGAAATTAAGTTACTGGAGAGTTGCTGGCAAGTTACTGGATAATTTGTAAAAAAACACAACTATTATCTAACCTGTTATTACTGAATCATGCTGCATATATAACCAATAAAAATCACTTTATTAGGTGCGTTCGTTTAAAATCTCCAGTAAAAACCAACCAACTGCCAAATTCTGGCGAAATGTCATATGTTCTCTCACAAGAGAAAAATATCCCAAATAGTACGCGAACAGAAAATTTGCAGAAACTTGCAAATTAGATGAACAGCTGATATAATTTTTGTTTACATTCAAAAGTGTAAAATTTAAAACGTACGAAGAGCCATCACAAAGTGTTATACTGACACAGTTTATTGATTAAACAAATAACTACTTATTTCTTACAAGTTTAATTAGTCGCATTTTGTAATTTTTAACTTCCAAACCATCAAATTCAATTTTGTGATTTGCGTAAATGCCAACCAGCTGTTTTTGATCAGCTGTTTTCCTGTTGGCAAATTGCTGTTGGCAAAAATTTTTCCAGCAGAAACCAGCAGCTTCCCCTCAAAATGAAATGTCACTTTGCTCTCTCAATTTCCCCTACTTTGCAAGTTTTTTGCGTACGCGAACGCAAAAACTTGTAAGTTTAGGTTAAACATGAACAATTAACAGCTACGCGAACGAACCTATTATTGCTTACGAAGTTTGATTTATTTTCACTTTTCTACTTCTATTATTCCAGTACGTTATTCACATTGTACAAACATATTTATATCATTTGCTGGATTCGTATGACATCACCCAGTCTAATTCCTCAATGATTCAATCAGCAATTACTTGAACAATTAATTTAAATTTTTTTCATGCACATTTTATTGCTATGTTATGATTTATAATTACCTACAAACACCAAAATAAGAAAGCGCATTTTTCCAAATGTTTTTTAAGCTAATGTTAACAAATTATGATATAAATCTCTCAGTGGTTCAAAAGCAACTAATTTGCGAAAACAAGTTTAAGTTTGCTTTTAACCAACTTATAAATTAAAACGGAGCAAAAAGTGCACAAAGAAAGCACCGTACGCACACATGCACGCGTATAGGTACCCCGCAGGAAATGTATTTAACTATAAGCTAACTTTAAGTTGATTGGGAAGGAGCTAAAAGTCACTTATTATCTGTATATTTTCTTTGACGAAAGCAAAACTATATTTATATGGCGATGGCCGCGAAATAGTCAAGGGTAGTTTACCTCTGCATTAGATGTAGTCAATGTAGTCTGAATTTGATGTAACTAACTACTTTTGGACATAAAATATCAATAGTAAAAACAAAATATTTTTATTTATTTATTTTATTACATTTCATATTTGTTTCCATATTCTGCTGTAGGAGGTCCCATATTTGAACTCCGTCAGACATAACTTCAAAATGATAATATGAAATTTCGTTCTTCCTTTTATTTGTCCTCAATTCGAAAAAGTATTTGCGAAGAGCAGGATATTTAAATAGAAATGCATTAAATCCGTGTACACGATAACTCGAGCAAAAATTGAGATATCTCAACGAAATTTGGTATGTAGGTTTCCATTAATCCAAGGTAGGTTGGTATTGAAAATTGGCGAAATCGGACTGTAACCGCGCCCACTTCCCATATAACGGTAATTTCCAGAAATACTAAAACTGCGATATTTAAGTAAGTACTGAAGATAATTCACTCAAAATTGATATTCACAATAATTATTTAGCAAAAAATAGGCTTATAATAGAAGGTTGAAAAATGGGCGTGACCCCGCCCACTTATAACCACATACATATGTGTATCTCGGTAACCGCTCGATCAATGTGTACCAAACTCGGTACGATTATTGTGGTTGCCCCATAAAGGCAAAACGTTGAAAGTTTTGAAATCTGACTAAAATTACGCCCACATTTATATAACGGTAATTTTCAGAAATGTTTCAAACTTTGATATTTCGAAATTTAAGGAAACTAATTTTACTTAAAATTGATACTAACAACAATCCCTTGAAAAGAAGTAACATTATTATGGAATTTTGGAAAATGGGCGTGGTGCCGCCCACATATATCTATATAAGTTTATCTCATCGAAGATGTTTAAAATATACGTAAAACCACCACTGCTTACTATGTAGCGGTGGTTTTCGAAAAGGTGAAAAAACTATATTGAATACTTGCGCCGGGTATTTAATGTTCGGCTCCGCCCGAACTTAGACTTTTTTACTTGTTAAGAAATAATTTAGGTAAGTAAATTAAGTAATTTAGTTAAATAAAAATGGAAAGGTTAGTAGTTTTTAATAATGTTTTTTT